CTCTGCGGAGGGTGGTGGCAGCCCGAGTCCCCAGCCCCTCCCCGAGGGTCCGCTCCCCGGCCTGGATCCTAACTGGCGACGAGAAGTGACAGCCGCAGTCGGATCGGCCCACGTGCAAGCTTCGGCGTCCAGAGCCTCTCACCGGGACGAGCCGAGCGGATTGGAAACTCGGCGTCGGTGTTCTGTCCCATATGGAAAGTAGGGAGGCCCGCCTGCCTTCGCTCGTTCGGGGCTCCCGGGTGTCAGTAACTTAGGCGTGGCCCTCAGGGGCCGGTAGCTCGCTCCAGCGGTTGGATGCAGAAAACACCTTGGTTTTTCTAAGTTAGAATTGGAACAGCAAAGCAACTTTTAGCTCTCCCTTCCCCCACCCTGTGGTAAGGAGGGTGAACTCAGCATCGATGAACTCACCGAGATAACTAACAGGTTAGTGGACAGGAACCTAGGACAGAACTGGAAACTGTGAAAAGGGGAAAGGTAACAGTTAGGCAGCTACACAGGGACAGGCCTAGGAAAATACCAAAGGTTTGGTGGGTGACTTAGATCAGGGGCCAGTGGTTTTGTTTTTCTTTGTCTTGTGAATTCGAATCCTGTTCACTTTTCTTGTTTTTGAAAATTCCCTCGGGCTCATCCTACAGCTTTAGAAGTCATTTCCTCTTCTGTGTTCATTTAAAAAAAAAGTTGGAAAAGTCTCACCTCTATAACTATACTAGTGAAGTTTTCAAAGTCTTGTTATATTTGTGTTCCTTCCCCCCCCCCCCCACAGGGTTTTTCTGTGTAGCTTTGCCCCTTTCCTGGAACTCCCTCAGTAGTCCAGGCTGGCCTGGAACTCAGAGATCCGCCTGCCTCTGCCTCCAAGTGCTGGGATTAAAGGCGTGTGCCACCACCGCCCGGTTGGTGTTCAAATTTTTGAGCTAGGTAATCATTGTAAGTTTAATAGTGCTGTTTGGATTTTTTGTCTTTTCTCTGAAGTTTGTTGAAGTGTGTCCATTTTACCAGACAACCTGAATTTGAGGAATGGAGTGAGTTTTGCATGCATTGAAGTTAATAATGACTAATAGTATACTGAATGGTTACTTACATGCTTTGTTTGCCTATTGTATACACTGCACTTGGGGGTGATTTGTTACCAACCTTCCATTACCCCACAACAGCAGATTTTCAGTTTTGAGTTTTCACTTTTCCTAGGAAGTGGAAGTTAAGACATAAAAAAGTTTAAAAAAGGAATGGGAGTAAGTTCGATTCAAAACGAGGCTGGAGGAAATGAGAGGAATTGGGAATAAGTTCCAGAATGTTGTTTAAAGTTGTCTGTAATGATCTATTGACCTGGGATTATGGACTCTAAATGGTGTTGATCCTGATGTTTGTAATTCTTGTCACTACAGATTGGTTCTCAGCCTTCCTAATGCGGTGACTCTTTAACATGTTGTTTTTAGCATGTCCTCCAGTTGTGGTGACCCCCAACATAAAATTATTTTCGTTGCTATTTCATAACTGTAATTTTGCTACTGTTGTGAATCATAGTGTAAATATCTGATAGGTGACCCCCATGAAAGGATCATACGACCCCCAAAGGGTTTGAGACCCATAAATTAAGAACTGATGTAAGTCTTAGGTGTTAGAGCTAAATTTTAGAGACTTGGAAGTGTTGAAATCCATTCTCATGATACAGTATAAGAATAGTTTGACTCCTGGACTTTAGAATTACACTGATTATAATGTTACCTTGGCATTTACTAGATTTGTGGTCATAAGCAAGCTATACTTTCTCAATATGTAAATGGTCATGAGTCCTGCATTAGTTACTTTGTTGTTTTTTTGCTCGTTTTGTTTTGAGAGAGGGTCTCATTGTGTAGCTTAAAGGAGTACAACAGCCTGAGAGTAACTTTGTATTTTTTTTTTGTTTTGTTTTTTTGTTTTTCAAGACAGGGTTTCTCTGTGTAGCTTTGCGTCTTTCCTGGAACTCATTTGGTAGCCCAGGCTGGCCTAGAACTTACAGAGATCTGCCTGCCTCTGCCTCCCGTGCTAGAATTAAAGGCGTGGGCCACCGCCCAGGTGTAACTTTGTATTTTATTTATTTATTTATTTATTTATTTATTTATTTATTTATTTATTTATTT